GCATGTATGCTAGCGTGGTGGGCATTGCACCCAGCCACACGTATAGCCGTAGCCTTGCGTATGCATGCTATGCGTGCTTGCTAGCATGCTAGGGCCTAGCGCCAAGCTCTTCCCAACCTCACACCAAGCAGCGTACTCGCACAGCACACGCATTGCAGCAGCATGCTGTGTGTGCATGTATGTAGTTGTGCGTGCTTGCTAGCGAGCAACACCAAGCAGCAGCACGCACCAAGCAGCAGCTTTGCATGCGCTGGCTGGTTGTGTGCTGGCTTGCTACGCATGTGCTGCGTGCTGGCTGGCTGGGTTACCCAGCCTTGATTCTAGGCGCCAGCTGGCAGCCTTGGCAGCCAAGGCAGGCTGCCAGCCAGCCAAGTGGCGTGGTCAGCATTGGTCAATTGTGGGGACTGATTCTTGGTGTTTGGCTTGGGGAGCAAGGTGCTTTGGTCCCCCCTTTGGTGGTCCTCACCAACCCTATTCCTCCATGTGACACTTGGAGCTTGTTGATTGCTTTGCATTTTAATTTGTTTTTGCTTAAAATAAATCGGTGAAAAAATGCAATTCTCCCATATTGATGGGAGAAGGGGAGATCAAGGCTCCCTTCCCTATAAATACCCAAGTTTTGGGTTTAGGAAAAACCACTTGAGTTGAACTCAATAAGGCATCTCCTTATAGGTGAGAAAACCTTTAAGTTCATAATACTCCAATCTTTTCTTGGTCTAGCCCCGACTAACCTTCAGGGTAGAGGCCGTTCGGGTTGGGTCTCGAGGGTGGATTCCGTCGGAGGCTCTCGTGCTTGCGGAGCTAAATCTTTGAAGTCCGAGCTCCATAGGAGAAAAGCACGCGTCGAGGGTAAGAATGTCATTTCCCTTTCTCTTCCTTTTGTTGTTTAATTATGTGATTGCATGCTTAGTTGCTTTAATTAGTGGGCGGGTCTTGGGCGGGTTTTTTTTTCGCGTAGTGTTGGACGCTATGAAACCCAACAAGGTTACGTGGTTTTACCACGATATATTGGAGTTACGGAAAATTTTAACCGTTAAAGAGTGACGCAAGAGTGATTATAAATATGTGTAGTCACTTCATTCAAATTTTCCTTCTCCATTAAGCCAAGTTCATTTCTCTCTCTTGCTTTCTCTCTCTAAAATCAGCTGTCAAAGTTTGTCTTTCTTAAAATACTCAAAACAATTAAAGTTACTCTCCATTAAAATAATCAAAATGGCAGAAGAATTAATTCATGAAGAAATATCACACAATGATGAAGAACTACAGAATGGTGATCAAGGAGAGCAAGGCCAAGCACAGAATGAAGCAATAGTACCATGGCCAGGGAACGTACCAAAGAATAGCGTCGAGTATTTGATGAAGGAGTATGGCTCTTTGAAGAATCCTGGTATTTGCCCAAACCACACTTGGCTGTTAACAGGCATTCTAGGTGGATCCAGAATTACAGAAAAAGGAAGAGGGGAGTTCTCAACAGAAGAATTAACAAAAGATGAGAAGAAAGGCCAACAATTTTAATAGACCCTACAAGCCCTGTCATCTCCAATGCTTTCACCGTGGACTCGAATGCTGATATTCTTAGGAATCACATCTTACCTAAGCTTGTGGAAGATGATGATGATAAGGCAAATGTTTCGTTGGTATGCAAGGGATGGGCACGAGAAGTAAGGGTCATCCACCCTCCTACATGTGATAGATTGCTTATGAAAAGGTTGATCACCCATTGCGGTACACATTATAATGTCAAGGTAACTAGAGGACTAAATGGGATAACCCATGTTCTCAAATATTAATGTGCATGTGAATGCTGGGATGACTCAATCGCTCGTCGCAACACAGTGGATTGGAGCCTAATGAGTCATGTTGATGACTGGGATTTCGAAGCTTATCTAAAGGATCCTTAAATGAAAAGGGCACTGGCGATGATCCAAGACAATCCTAGGTACTAGAGGCTACTCAATAAGTATATCATTGTATATATTTAGCCTTAGTCCTTAAAAGAGCATACACAATTCAAAACTATTAAGTTTTGAAATGCTCTTCTTTTGTAAAGTTCTAATTTTATATATCTGAAGTAATGTTTAATGCCTTGTGTCTAACTTGCAAAATTAAACATACGCAATACTTCTCATTATTATGCAAAAAGGTCATAATTTAATTAGTTTAAAACGCCATCAACCACCCAAATTAGGGGGGCATTTTTTACACCCAAAAATCGGATTTTTGACTTTTTATTGACTTTTCTTGACTTTGATCAAGCGAATTGGGTCTTAGAGTCAGTAGAAGGCTTTCGTGATGAACTGGTAGAGATATAATGAGAATTAGGCTAATATCATCCAAAGGCCCAATATTAAAAACCGGTTTGGAGGCAAAGTGGGTAATTTAATTTAAGAGAGTTCGCGCCAATAAGCATAACCGCACAACAGTTATGGGAGTCATCCATAACCGCTCCAATTTGCCTATAAATAGAAGCGTGTAGATCAAAGGAAGGACATCAGCAAATCAATCAACAACAAGCATTTCATTTCTTTTAAGCTTTCTTCTTAGCTTTCGTAGTTTCCCTTGGCTTAGTAGCCAAGCGATATTTTAGTTTTCTCTTAACATGTATTGAAGATCATTCGTCTTTTCCAATTGTATGATCATGGAGGTAACCTCTACTACGACTTATACGATTGTAGACCTGACATTATCCTTTAATTAATGGAATGCATTTGTATCTTTTGTCAAATGTTTATCTACTCTTTTCTTTAAACAATTCATCTAACTTGTTTTACTTTCTTTGGGAAAGGTTCTTCATTGTTTGTGTTGTTACGTTAGCAAGGTTATCAATCTTTGAAACCGGAAACTCGAGGGACAGCCCCCCTAATACCTTTAAACAAGATAGAGTATTTAACTTGTTGGCAAAGAACAATATTTTCCTTAACATAAATAAAATCAATTAACTTAGTTTTTAGGTATCACGTTGCATATATTATTTGGTAATGAAATTGTGAAAAAGGAAGTGCTAGTAGAGGCCACAGTAAGGCTAGGATTGCAATTCTCAAAAGAACGCTTTCCTAGTACTCTCGCTCCCGAACTCATTTCTTGTTTAGTAGACCAATTTGGGCATGGGTAAACTTATGATTCATGCTAATTATCCCTCGAACTCTACTTGGGAGAAAGGTGTGAACGAGGTTTATGGGTTTTCTTAAAACTCATTGACGACTCTCTATTGGTTTCTTATAAAAAAAAAATTATTGCTTAGCTCATTTCTAATTCAAGGTCTCCCAAACAGTCAAGAATTCAAATCCTATTGCACCCTAAAAAAGTGTAAAGTCCTAGGCTTTTAAAAGGCCAAGGGCATAGAGGAAATGGGATCCCCAACGACGGGCCACCCTCCTCATAGTCTGTATATTAAGCATATGTTTAAAAAGAAAGATAGTAATTAAAACTTTGATTTGAAATGGTAATAAATCTAATAATTTCCAAGGTTAGTTTGCTAGATATCAAGTGACACATTTTAAAGTATATAGAGTTAATGCAGATGTAGATCGACATATTATAACTACCATAAATTGTATGAAGTACGTGTTTAATGAAATTTCATGCAAATATCGCTTTCACATGTTACTAGTTTCTTCTTGTCAAAGGATTAACTCGATCAAAAGTTAAACTTATAGTTAGAGTTCCAACATTCTCAAGATTAATTTTATAATCTCTCATACCCTCTCATAGAGTACTTTGAGCTTGTAGTGTAGAGACAGCATGGATTTCCTCATATTCACCGCTAAATTATCCAATTTAAATGAAATGGGTGGAGGTTAAGTAGTTTTAATTAAGCTTAGTGCAATTCGGTCCTATAATAAAGGATCCCACCAAGTATCATAACCTTGCAAGTGCTCTACAGTACCTCTCATACTCACCGTGATATTGCATACGATGTACAACAAGTACGTTTGTTTATGAATTATCCTAGGGAGCCACATTTGCAGCATATATTGTGTTATGTTTGAGGTTCCATTGATCATGAGTTATATGTATATCAAGCCATCAAGGTAACTTACGTATATTGTGTCACTAATTTTGTCTCCAAGGCTTGCGAGCTTCATATTATCTTACTTGATATTTGTTATCCTCTTCTTCAAGCCACTCTTGTTTATTGTGATAATAGCAATACAATTTAATTATCCAGCTATATAGGCAACACCAACACACAAAGCATGTCAATATTCAATTTGTTTCGTAAAAAAGCTGCATTACATCTACATGTTTCTTCTCGATAGATATATTTACAAAAAATCTCTCTCATAATTATTTTTTGGTTTTAAGATTCAATCTTAACATATGATCTCCTCTCACTACAACGCAAGGGTATGATAGGAAACATTCCCGCATCTTTTCCTTTTAGATTTAGGGTAATTTTATATTTTAAATGTAATTATCATCATATTTTGACGAGTATATTATAACCTTAAAAATATTGATCAATAATTACGCTGCAAAAGAAGAGTGTCAAAATTTCACACTTCTCACTTACAGGCTTACAACCAATAAATATACTTCCTCTTTTTCTATCTCTCTCATACTCGTATTAAATACATCCTCTTTTTTCTTTCTTTCAATCTCTCTCATCTCTAAGAACGGGTTAGAATCCGTATTTTCACAAATGATGCGTCTAAAAAAACCAGATGAAGTATAATAAAATACTTGAGGGCTGTTTGGTTGAACTTTTTGGAATAGGTTGGAATGGATTTAGAATTCATTTCATGGTTTTATTTGTTTGGTTGGGCTATTTAAGTATGGAATCTCATAGACGGGGGATTCTAACTCCACCTCATTCCCTTATAATCTCATACCTACCTCTCCCTAAGGATTTATAATCCATACTAGCACTCAAAAATGAGAATTCATTCCATGATTAAAACAAACAATTTTAAATAGGTATGGAATATAGAATCCATACCACCCCAAATATCAAAATTCATACCATTCCATTCCTCAGTAAACCAAACGATCCCTAACACGATAAAAATAAAACATTCCTTGCTTAACATGTGGACCATAATTTGAGTAATTACTCTGTCCATCATCACAGCAAAGCCCCCCATTTTGTAATCCTGGATAATTCCCGACTGCAACTTCAACTGAATCCATGGAACTCACCCTTTTCTCTCACCACCATTCCCAATTTCTATACAAATCCCCCTCTTTTCAACTTCTAGTAGGAATTCTTTACCAAATACTAGAAATATAAAACTATTTCATTGCAGCTGTTCTTCATCATCATCAAATGATACTGCTAAACAAACAACATCATCTTTGGCTATTGAGGGAAGAAGGGCATTCATCAGTTGTTTTTTCATAGCAGGTTTGTTCATATATTTCTGAATTCTCCCTTTTTATAATTTTTAATTTCATAAATTTGCTTTTCATTTTTGTGTTAAATTTTGCTGGGGTTACTTTGATATAATGCTCGTTGATACTTCTTTGTAATATAGTGATTTGGGTGGTTAATTTTTTTCAATCTTTCATCCGCAGTGTAGTAAAAGCTCTGAAATTTTGTTATAAGAAGTAAAAATCTATGAAATTTTGTTATGAAATGGACATTTTTCATTTAAGCAATTGACGTTTTAATTTGTTAACACCCAATTACATATGGGTGATTAAGTTTGTTTTGTATTTCTGTGGTTAGTCCTTTTATTTATTTGCTCTCATTGCTTATACATATTTGGTAGATAATAATAAATGGTGGTATTAGAGATTATGTAGCTTGTCTGACTGAAACCATGAATTGGAATATCATGAGCACTTCCAACAATTATATCTTTAATTTTACTCACATTAAAGTAACATGTGAGAGTACCTGCATTTGAGGTCATAAGAGATATTGCGGCGGTATCTTTATACCAATTGTCATCAGGAGGGTTGAGAGAATTAATGTGCATAGCCTGTTCAATATTATGTGGTTGATGGAGGTGCTGTCACGCTGCCTGCAAGATGAGCTTGCTGGGATCGTGTCCTAACAGGACTAGCCGTTGCTGTTTTGGAAGGTGTGGCTACCACACTGTAGTGGGGTATGGCAAGGTGGTTTACAAATAAATGTGTTTTACTTGGATACCCCGGAGATTCAGTGATATAATTGGGGGAATCTAATTAGAGAAATAGGAATTAGGAAGTTGCGGTAATGAAATAAAGTATATGTATGTTGTAGGAAGTTGTTTAGAATGAATTAATGCATGTAGCTATCTTCTTTAATCTATTTTCTATGTTAAATGACAAATAGCAGACATGAAACAGAATCTAAAGAGGATTGTTACAACCGTGTACTAACTTGAGATATTGTTTTACTAGACTTCTTTTCTTCAATGTTTAAGTCTAATATTATAAGACCCTGCATATCATCTTTGTGCATTTTTTGTATATGGCTTGCATCCATGATAGATGTTTGATAGTCCTTTTGTACTATGTTGGCTAATCTTTGTTATTTAGGATGTTCCCCCGACTAAATTTTTCTTACGTTACAGCTGCTGGGTTGTGTATCACTGATCTGGCTGGGGCTGTCAGCACAAGTAGAAGAGCTGTAAGATTTCTGTATGCTTCACAAATTTTATTTTTACTAGTGCATCTCGCTGCCACAGTATATAAGATTTTTTTTTTCCCTTCCTTTTTTACAGCTTAGAGGAGCAAAAATACCTGAGAGCGAATTTACAGCCCTTCCTAATGGTCTAAAGTTAGTGAATCCACTTAAAATCTCTTTATTGTTATATCTTTCTCCCTACCTTGCAACTCTATTGTGGACGAATTTTATGTTGTGTCACTATGTATAGATTTTGGGTTATAGAAATATAATGCAAATTCTCTAAGCTTGACTTAGTGAATTAGTAAGATTTTTTTTCTCTGTCGTAGACGAAATCTCTATGTTGATAAAGGCTTTGATAGCTAAATACTTAGATTGACATGTATTGAGATGCTTATCCTGTTCTGTATCCGTAGTATTAGTTCACTCTTTTTTTCTTGCTGATTCGCTCAATTTTTAAAGATACATTTTGTAGGTATTATGATTTGAAAGTTGGAGGTGGGCCAGAAGCTGTAAAGGGATCTCGTGTAGCAGTACGGTTGTGACTCAATTTAATTATATGCCGTTATGGTTATATAAGCATGATACATGTTTAATTTTGTATATTGACTTGGTTATGCTTAGAAAAGTTCTACTGTCATATCTTAAGCAAATTCATACTACTTATATCATAGAAAATTCACTTTTGTGTTAACTTTTCCTGAATTATTATATTCTACAAACTTCTCATTAGTTGCATTTGGTATGTTAAATATGTTTCCATTTTCTCAATGCCTATCATTTTTTAAAGGGTATAAAAAAGAATGGTGTATAAAAGGGTATAAATAGTTTATGACCAATATATATGAACAATAAATGAGTTGTTATATATGCACTATTTTGTTCAGTCTCTATAGGACCAACAAAAGCATAAGGACTTATATTATCTAGAACTAGGGCATAGTTCTAATTCTAATTCATCATCCACTAGCACTTAATTATCTATGTAAACATCGTGTGTCTATTGTCTAGTTGCTTTTGCTAAGGTAACTATGATCCTTAAAATGGACGCGCTGTGAGCTTAGATAATATTGAAGATTAATGCTTTTGACTCTTGATTTTGACAATAGTATCAAATATTATAATGTATAAGCTACGGATTTGGCTTTGGCGATGCATCATGATGATGATTATCCCTCCCAAATTGTGTTACCCGTGTTTGCAACCCTTTTGGGTGTTGTATTTGCAAATTCTTTGAGCCTTTCTCATGTTGCTTTCTGTTATTTACAGAAAATGCAGTAATATGTCATATCCTTCAGCGTGATCATATGAAACTTTTGTAGGTGCATTATGTTGCTAAGTGGAAGGGCATCACTTTTATGACTAGTAGGCAAGGGATGGGAGTTGGTGGCGGCACGGTAAGATCTAAAGTTGCTGAGTACATGTAATTCTCTTTAGAAGATACAGTTAAAATCAAGTAATGGATGGCTAACATGCTCATCCCTCTTATATGCACTACTTTTTGTATATATGATTTTTCCTTGACTAAATGACCTTCCTAGTGGCTTTCACTTTCCTTTCATTGAATTTTTAGCATCTGGTGCCTTGTTTCTACTGTAAATTATTCCTATTATTTGATTGGAAGTTTGTGGTCTCAAATTATAATCTATTCCTTATAAACCTATCTAGAAAGACCTAGCCAAGTGATGAAACTAGTTGAAAGGTCGAAGCCAAATGAATTACAATCACACTCTCAGTTTTTGCTCTTTTGTAGATAACATAAGGATCTGGTATTTGACAGCTCTGTACATGACTTAACAGTGGTTTGTTATGCTTCATGCAACTGCAATCCTGATATATCATGTTTCTCTTAAGAGTTGTTCTTGTGCCTTAAAAGTTGTAATTCTTTTCTTGAGCTCATTATTTATGCATATGCTTAAATGTTATAGTATTTCTTCAAATGCTTAAAAAAATGTTTCTAATAATTTATCAAGATCTCAACTCTGTTCTTTCCTTTTTGGGTTAAAATGAACCTTTTTTCATGCTTGCAGCCTTACGGTTTTGATGTTGGCCAGTCAGAAAAAGGCAATGTTCTTAAGGGGCTAGATCTTGGTGTTGAAGGAATGAAAGTGGGTGGCCAGGTGAGACCATTTTTTATATACTTGTCTGCCATCGATTCATGCCAAAAAGAGACGGGAAAACCTTCACAGTTGATTCTTCTGCTGAAATTCTGATTGAAGTGGAGCTTAATTTGCTTTTTGAAATGCATTCACTGCTATATAAAATCTTGATTGATAGAAATGATTCTTAGATGATTTTGCAGATTTTTATGGATTAATTAATCTCCCTTCTGCCAAGTGTTATTATATCCAATTCTCCCCTGCTAATTTTGGAGCTCATGCGAAATGCAGCGATTGTTGATAGTTCCTCCTGAACTAGCATATGGAAGCAGAGGAGTCCAAGAAATCCCTCCAAATGCAACAATAGAGGTATGATATACTCTGGCATCTAAAAGTTATAACTTCTGAATATAGGTAAGAACTAAGAAGCAATATATGGCGCTGATTTGACTTTGTTGTATGTGAAACATATTCTTTTATGAGATGTAAATTAAGGGTTTTATGTATTGAATTTAATGCATCAGGATTCAGGGCTATGATTGATAAACTAATGTAACAAACAATTTAGGATTTGAAAACAGCTTATGTCCTTAAAACCTTCTCTATCTGTACACCCCAATTTTGTATAAATGTCAGATTCCACATTGGCACATTCTGTTCGTTGATAACCTGACTAATTTGAGTATCGGCCAACTGAATTGTTTCAGAATCTTGCTAATCTTCTACTTTTAAGCTGGACTTATTATGCAGCTAAAATATTTTTTTCTGAAGAATTAAATGAACTCTGAATTATAAAAAGTCCTTGACACTACCTTCAACATGTTCAGCCTCCCGGTGAGCTTAATAATCAATTTAGGTAATGAATCCAACCAGAAAAATTTAAAAATTATTGTCCATATTTGTATTCCTTCTATCTCTTTTTAGGTTCAAAGGATGATTAGTGGCAAAACAACCCACCGGCAATCTTAAATTACAGTTTCTTCACTTTCATGTGCTTCTTAGCTTCCCTTTATACTCGTGCTCCTTTTATTTCAAGATAATTTTCTGATGTTTAGTACTAAATTCTTTTTCCCTTGCATTACAATTGGAACCATTGTTCATCACACTCTTTTGAAAATATGTGCAGCTGGATGTGGAACTTTTGTCCATCAAGCAAAGTCCTTTTGGGTACACCATCGTCTTATGGGACTCTTGTTGAACCATTTACTTTGATTCTTAATATTAGTAGATTCATAATTGGTTTTGTTTTTATTTTTGTAACTGTAGGTCTCCAGTTAAGCTTGTGGAAGGATGAAGTGATCCTATTCTATGATGGCCTGATGGCAAAAGATAATTTTGCAAAATTCACTATTATGGATAAAGTTACTTCCCAATATATAAGAATTGATATTCTTATTATTATACATCAACTGTAGCTTCTTTACTATCCTGTATCTAAGGTCAAAATCATACTGTATAATCTTGTTCTACTTCCTCTTGTTGGGTGTTTCATCTCTTTCAGACTACACAATTGTAAGTAACGCTTTGATCTTAATGTGTGCTTCTCCAGTTCTGCAAGTGTTACATAAGTACTTGCAGACTGCAACTGAATCTAAGGTATCTTGATTTCGTGGACTGTCAACTGACAGATATGGAAATTAGGGAACTTAACCATTAATCCTCAACTAAACACCTAAACTATAATGAGACACCACTGTTTACCTATGGTCATCTGTGTACACGTACATAATTACAATTCATCTTTTTTTTCAACATCTTCGTTCTTTCTAAGCCTTGAAAACTTTTGAGGTAGTAGTGTGCTACCGAGATCAAATCTCATCTTGATCTCCCGTAATGACTACAAACAAAAATAAATACTTTGTATATACCTATATTTGTAAGGTCTTGTGTTCTTGCTTGATTATCAGAATGACTAGGATCACTTTTGAATTACTTTGATCACCTATTTTTATTATTTCTTCTACTTTCGTGGACAAAATGCTGGTTGATCTCCTTAAAGTAATATTTTAGTAATAAGCTTTGAAAAATTCGAAATGCATAAATATACAATCAACGGAATCAAACTGTAAATGTATATGTACTGGTCTTCTCAGTTTATGAATAGTAATTCCCCTTTCATGCCTAAATTTTAACGTTTGCTTTGATACACCACCCAGTCTCGCACTCTTACTCTGATGACAGACATAATCGATGTAAGTGTAAAAAACCTCCTGTTTCTGTAACCTCATGAGAGACACCTAACAACTCACTCGGTCAGTCGGTCATGATTTAGTTATCACACAAATATTGTAATTTTGAACTAGTAATGTAACTTCTTCTCCCTCCGTCATTATTCCTGATTGTAATATCACGGGAATGAGAGGAGGGAGTGTGTAGGACATAAAAATCAGAACAAGTACAATAAAGTGGTGAAATGCCAGGAAAAAAATAATGAAGGGGCACAAAGCCACAATAATGAAAGTTGAAGGTATTTTGAGATATTCAACGAGAAAAGAAAAGATGAGGGCAACTTAGTTATTTCATAGTGTCTCTAAAAAAAGGAAAGATATGAAATAGGAACCACATGGTCCAAATCTAAGATCGCCTGAAAAGGAAAATAGGATCTATATTTTGATCGGAGGGAGTAAAATTCGCGTACAGATTACTAAATCTAGTGAACCAGAAAAAAGAAAACAAAAAAAGAGAAAAAAAAACCCTGTTTTAAAAAGGCTCTACAATCAGACATTCAGAAATTCAGTCATAAAGATGGTCTTAACTTTCTGCATATATCCTTTAATTTCTCTTTTTCATTTATACAGTTTTTGTGAAAGCTGAAGAAGTTTCAAGGGAAGTCAAAACCTGATGAAATAGCAGCACCTTAAAGCTTCTAAGAAATCACTATCACTTGAACAATTGACAGGAAAAGAAAACTGTTTGGTGTAAAAAAGGACAGTCAGTGAGCGGCGTATACTGGTACAACAGTAAGAACACCTTTGTCACAGTTCCTAAACAAAACTTGTTAATATGATATTTACATTTCTTCGAACAATTGCATCTTTGAACATTACTTGTATCAAAATTGGGCAGATCAAGCTGTGAACTTCCACATGCACTTGCAGAGTGGAGATATCTTCACCTACGATAACGATATCGCTTGAAGTTGAAATACACATGTAATATGCCTCTCTCAAAGGTACATTTGTACCCCTTTTTATGGGAATACTCCCACTCTTTATTCACAATCCTGAAGGCCTGCAAAAGTAGATAATATTTTAGGAAACAAATTCTGGTAGCAGACATTAAGAAGTATTTCCAAGTTATGAGAAAAGAAAGAAAACACAGAAATCCAGATACATACGATGTCCTCATAAGGAGGGCCGGCATGAAACCTAATAATACAGGTCTCACTGCTGTCCCCATCTTTCTCAATAAAATATGTGGGTGCCTTAGTTTTATCAACAAGATCTGGGTAGAAAATGTTGAATTTGTATCCTTGGACAATCTTTGGTGGAGGGTTATCATGGTCGTAATGTGTCTGGTTATACTTGTTCCATTCATAACCGGTATGAACACGGTTGAAATACTTTGGCTTTCTCGGGCGATATTTGTCATGCCACCAGTACACCTGCAACGACACCCATTTGAGTTTCTTACTCAAGGAAACTTAAGTTACAATACGTAAAGTAAGAGGATACACGTAAATACCTGTGAATCTAGATTAATTTCAGCACCAGAACCAAATACCACATCACCATCCTCCACGGCTCCCATAAGTTTCCTTGCCCTGACCTCAAGGTCATCCTCTGGCTGAGCACGTGGTTTTGAGGCCATAGCTTCCTTCAGCCTTTGTTCCTCTGTAACCGCCAAACGCTTCTTTTCCTGTTAATGCAGCAAAACTAGTGTAAGTACAAATTAAGGCAAAGGCATAAATAAGATAGCATAAAGATTATTAAACCATAGGATCAGTCAATTTACCAGCATAACCCTATCCTCATCAGGATCAATGGCCTCTTCAGTGTCTTCACCATGTAAGAGCTGTGGAGAAAAGGACCCATCCTCTGCTTCTGACTCCTGAGCTTCCTCACGAATGATGGGTTCTGGAGAAAATGCTCGTACATCTACACATACTATATATTTCAGATAACTGTGCTTGAAGAAATGATCTAAAATTATTACCATACTTAGCAAGTGATGCATACCTTCAACTTCTTCCTCAATTTCCTCCTCTTCTATCTTTTCCTCCTCGGATTTCAGGTTTTCATCCTGAAGAGGCCGTTCAAGGCGGTGCAAATGTTTCCTAAGCAGCTTGGCATGGATTTCTTTAAGACAAGCCTGCACATTAATGGCAATCAATTTCTACTGTTCACCAATTTCAAAAACAAACCTAAAACTTAATACCAAGTGCCAGACAACCTAGCATACATACCTTTGCCTTGTAAATGTGAAGCCGTTTAACCACAGCTTCCCAATACTCAACCACCTTGGCTTTTCCAGAGCGCATTTCTGACTCAATTTGTGCTTGTAGTTCTAACAACTCTTTGTAGCTCTTGCCTTCCAAAAAATTTCGAACATCTGTTTCTATACTTGAATGCATGCCTCTTTCCTCCGCAAGTAACTCAGCAGGAGGTTGCTCCCCACGCACTCTAGCTCGGTCAATTGCATCCTTTCTCCTAGCTTCACCCAATTCCCACTCACAAACCACCATCAAAGCCTGTCAAATTATACAGCCAAAAGAGTTAAGTATGCCTCAGTAATCCAAACATTAATATCGCTTGACCTATTAAGAATAGCAATCAAGAAAACTCCTTCATATCCCTTCCACACTAGTGCTCTATTTCCCACAAGTGACTAGCAAAGCTCTATATAGTAAGCACAATGATAGGATGAGCAAATTAGACAGCCAATCCAAGAATCAAGCCAAAATAAGACAAAAGCTATGAGTGAGGGTACACCATAGGTACCTCATAACATGTTAACTGTCAAGGGTCCACAAATCCAACAAGTAGATTAGGCGCATAGAGTGAAACTGAAACACTCAAAAGGCCAATGAAGTAATGTCAAGCACTGACATAGGATCTTAAAATGAGGTTATGGGCTGGTTTTCACAATATCCACCAACAAATTGAGATGGAGATAGTTAGGAGAGAAGATCTAGAAACCCCACTCATGTCATTATTGGCACTTTCATAATTAATTGCATCTTCTTCTTTTCGGCCCTTTATTAATGACATTATTGTAAACAATGCATCTTTTATAACGGCTAAAAGTCTCATGAAAGGTGGTCTGAGAAAAAGAAAGAAAGTAGGATAATAAATCTACACATCTCTCATTTGATCCTTCAAATCACACCAAAAGAATTAATCTTTTGGCTATACACTTGTTTTAGAAATTAATACAAAGATTAGATATGAAAGATGGAAATTAATATGTGCATCACTCTTTTTAGGTAGGTAATTTGGCGGGCATGAGTTTTGTCACTTGATAGGTAAGAGTTTCAAACTTCAGTTCATCATCAAATGAAGGGATGAAGGGAGGCATTGCAGTATACATATATATACAACATCTCTATCAATTCAACCAACTAATCAAAGAGATTAACTGCCCTCTAATTCTCGCACACTATCTCCTCTCCACTCTCCCCATGGCAGCAAAACTCAATTCCAAAAACAACTCCCTCTCTAACCTTAACCATCATCCCAGCCATCCACCAGCCACCCACCAGCAACACTCCCTCTCTCCACCTGAACAGCCACACCAACCACCAACACCACTCCCTCACCCACCTAAACCACCGGCCAACCATCAATACCACCCATCCCCTTTTCCACAACCTAATTTTCCTTTATCCACTATAATAGCTCACAGCATGTTGTCACAAATACAAGACGATTGAGAAGAGAGAACACAAAATTCTGAGCACTGAATTACAGCCATAGTTTGCTCTTTCCTTCTCTCCAAATCTTCTTTTTCTAATCTGCCGATGAAAAGGACAGTATTGGTGGCTGCATGAGGTGATGATGTGGGATGGTGGTGGTGGCTGCGGAGGGTTTATCGCACTTCTCTTTCTTGATCTTTCTCTCTTATGCTCTCTTTTCTCTATTTATAATTGGGAAGAATGATGATGGTGATGAGGGGAAGGAGATGAATTGGTCATTTGGTTGAGGTAATGGAGAAAAGAAAGGGAGGAAGATTAACTGGTTGTGTAGTAGTGGATGGTTGTACTGTCAAGTGTTGACTGTCAATGGGGTAGGTGGGATGGTGGTGGTTGGTTGTTTTGTCAGCACTGAAGGGTAAGATTAGAGAGGTAGGAAGGAAAATTAATTCTTCCTCCTTAATATGTTGTGTGTAATAGACTGGGATTACTGCTAACTTACGTAAATAACAGTAAAATAGAAAGAAAAGATTGATTCTTTGATTAAACTAGATAATCTGATTTTTGGTTAATTGATTTAATAAGAAGAATTAACAAAGATGGAAGCTTGAAGATTGATTGACAATGGCACAAGGGTTACAAATAATAGGGTTGATAGCTTTAGGATATTACTCTCAAAATAGTTTGAGGCTATCACTGTCTAACAATGGCTTTAGGCCATAACTCTCTAAGGTTTCCCAATACAAATTTCTATGATTCTAGACTTAGCTTTTGTCTCATGTGCACAAGTGACATCTCTTTGTTCATTGCATACTTTCTCTTATGTACCACAGTTAATGAATACTGTCAAGTGCAATTACGAGATATATCATGAATCAATATTATGGAGATAATAAGTTTATCCTTTTGGGTCGTCATTGTCTATTGCTAGACATGATAAATGATCTTTGGGCTAGTCAAATAGCCCAAAACCCAATAGAAAGGATCCTATGAGATCACACATAAGGGTAATGGAAACAAAGCATGAAGCCCATTAATGGGCCTCATGAGGTGATGACAAGCCACATAGAGTTTAAGGTTAAAGTAGTTTGGGTTGGATTAGGAATTTGGGCTTCACATGGACTCTAATTATATATGAGATATATAATTAGAGGCCTTGCCTAGGTTAAGCATACAAGTCACAATTAACCTAAGCAGTAAATTGTGCAGTAAGGAACCAAACTCTCTCATCCCCTCTCTCACACGCCTCTCTCTCTCTCTTTCTCTCTCTACCCTAGTCCGTACGGTACAGACCATCGGCACAAGGTGGTTGCGGTTGCACAGTGGTGATGGTGGTGGTTCGTGGCTTGTTTGTTTCCTCTCCTCTCCATAGAAGGTAGATCGAAGTGTTTGTTCTCCACTAATGCTAGAGGTTCAATTCTAACCCATGGACTAAGTAGAGGAATCACGTTTGGGTTTCTTATTCTCCTAATTGTTCTTGCTCGATCACTCGTGAAATCACGCTTCAAAGGTATAATTATGTGTTTCTTTATGTGTTGTGCATAGATCCTGTTTTAGATGCTTATGAATATGATTCATGCAATTCCGCTTAGAGTATCTATTTCCTTACATATACCCCTCCCCTAAGTTGGTTCATTGCATTGTGTTTCAATTTCTAGCCCTGAAAATGCAAAAATGACTACTCAAAATGATAAAAATACTCAAATATCATAAATCCCTCTTACCTCAGTAATTTATGGCTTCGTAATTATGGCTTAGAAAGCTAATATATCAAGGGATCAATAACCCATAGAAACATTACCCAAATATTTACAGCACATAATGTTGCTTTACCTTGCATCTTAAAGACTACTGAAATCGAGAGTCTGAGAAACTAGGCTATTATGATATGTGAATTAGTTCACTGACTGTCTTATTTCTTCGGCAAACTATAGGGCAAAGGTCATACTTGTCAATGGTCTCATGGACAACAGAAATTATGGATAAAGATGCTTTAAAACAGTAATGATGTCAAAGGTTAGATTAGAGAAAAATATTACAGTGTCTTTTAAATAGCCGACAACTCTAAGGGGCTTTAAATTAAGAACGATGTCAAAGGTTAGATTAAAGAAAAATATTACAATGTCTTTTAAATAGCTGACAACTCCAAGGGGCTATTTGATAGAGGAGTTTTTCAAGAAAAGGAAATGGAATAACAATAAAATGCCCTGATTCCCTTAGTGCTTGTCTGGTTCATTGTTTTCTATTCTCTTTGTATTGTACCTTCTGCACACCGAAACACACATATTTGCCTCAACACCTTGCAGCCAGATTAAAATTCCCCAACCTTGGCAACCAAAAAAACTTTAGAGTCATTACCAAAAAAACAAAATCCACCCCCAAGAAACCTAAACTATAACTACCAACTTGCCATTCTGACCATTGTCCTTGGTCATTGACACCACCTACATCAAACCTAGCCTCGCCATCTTCTTCACTAATTTTCAACTACCACATTATTGACTTGAAGTTTTAAGCAGAAAAAGAAGGAATCAAAGATACTGACCACTAGCCATAAGCCCTATCAGTCCACCACATTAGGAGTCTGAGAAAATAAACCAGAGAAAAAACTGCAACTTACCGAATTCGAAAACCATTATATTAAAGTGAGATTGTGAGAAATTCTAAGAAAGCATGATCATGGACTAAATGATGATTGATTCAAGCATCAAAACTTCAGAAACAAACCTTTGATGACCGAATTTGACCACCAAATGACCAATTTGCTATAAAAACTAAATAGGCACAAACAAGAGAGGGTTGAGAAGAGTGACGAGTGACATTGGATGTTAACAGGGAAGGGAAGTGTTGTATGGAAGGTGGAAGAGGGAAGGATAAAAAGTTTGTTCTGCTGGGTTTTAACTTGCTGGTGGACATATATGGGAGAAGGGAACAAAGTGGGTTTCATTTCCTTGAACAACAAAAGAATAAGAAGTGAATACCTTTCATTTCCCAATCAAAACCAAACAAAATAATGTAATTTACCATTTCCTCTCCTTTACCCAGGTTTTCCTTTCTTAATTCCTTTCCCTAATGTGAACCAAACAACCCCTATATCATTAGCAAAATATGAATATAATCATGTGCACCTTACATGAAGGACATGTAACCCAGCATAAATATAAAGTTCCCTTCCAAAGTTCCAAGCCTGTAATTTGCAGGCACTTCATCTTCAAACATATGTGTCTCAAATATTTGCTCAGCTTGACTACAGAAGCCACTAAGCAAAGCAACAGTGATAACTTTTGCCAATCAGAGATTGCTTAATCCATTTTGAATATGTCTAAATCCTCAAGAAATGCATTTAAACCAACTGATGAACAGTGAAAGTGTGCGATGCAAAAACAATGAGAGATGCACAGATTAGATAATAAAGCAATACCCCCATCACGGTAAAAACAAATAAATAAATAAATAAATAAAATAAAATTTGGGCCCAATGCCTTATAGGCCTATAGCTGTTTCTATGCAATAAATATCCTTTGCCTCTTCTACAAGAAAACGGGGTGGGCATTCAATTTCACAGCTCCATCCAGAAAATAGAATAAAAGGCGATGCAACTTCTGTGAGGCTTACTTTTTAAAGTTTTAAATTGACAGCTTCAATGCAAACAATAATATAGAATTATTGAGATTGCCTTGTAAAACGATACTAATTATCAGAATACAGAATTAGCAAATTTTATAGGCATATGTAAGACAGAGTAGAGCAAAAATACCTCCCAATATTCCACATGAGTTGGTGTTTCCCTGTCTAGGCCAAGATGCAATTTTATATCATCGTGTAGCTCCTCAATTTCTTTAACAGTTAAGCCCTGTATAAGATTTGGCACACACAAAACACCATAAGAAACACTTTCATACACACCAACTTTTCATGAATACATACAATGTTATAAAGCTTGCCTGATCCACCAAAAGTAATAAGGTGAAGCAAACAATCACGGACAATTGTCACAAAAAGAAAAGCAGAGACAATCCAAAAAGTCAACCTCAAAGCTAAATAGCTAATAAAAATATCTTCTATATAGTGTGATATTAGACATCATAGCATTATCTATAATCACTAACAGGGTTACCTAATACTCCCCTCCCCCTGCGTACTCCGTATTAATACTTTCGTTCCAATACTCAATGCTTTTCTGTATTAATACTCCCTAATCAGCGTATTTGCCGTATTATGCTTTTCCAATGCACAAAGATAGTATTTGATGAGGAGTGATGGAGAGTAAGAAATAGATCAACAAGGGAGACGTTTGTTCATTTGTCTCCATTACTCCAAGCAAACACCGTAGAGGCTTTTATTTTATTTTTTATTTTTTATTTTTTTTTGGGGGGGAAGGGGGGGTTAATCTTGCTTTCCTGTTTCAGTTTGTTTCTTTTGCAGGGTTACCTAATACTCCCCTCTCCTCCATGAACTCTTGATTTAAGTCTTTTATACCAAATCTCCCAATTTTTCATAAAAAGACCTTTATATTTATTCCGCCTGGTGTTAGTGTTACGTATTAGGTAGCTTGATCACTAAACTAGCGTAGCCAACACAATTTCAAATAACAACAAATCATAGTAATTAATCTCCTTGCAAGGTATTGCTCTTCCTTAAAATACATCATGATATCATCAAATTTGCTCAAACTTTTTGTGTCAAAGAAGAAAGAGTTGCAAAAAAAAATGGTACAGGATAGAGCTTTTCATTTTAGATTAACTAAGCCTTGTAAAACAAACTATATTGAAAGATGAAAACTTTTCTCATAATACAGCTTTTCAGATCTTGGGCGATGGGATAGATGGCTGATGGGTGTTTATGGAAAGACTACTAGTCAAACATAGCCCCTTTTATTATGTTAGCCTGTAACAAGGATAAAATTAACTATCCCTGTATCTACATTCATAAATCATGGATCTTGGAATTTTCTTTGTTCAGACCTATTCTTTGCCGCATAGCATCAATTTCTTGCATATCAACACTATACCTTCTGAGAGAAGATTAGCCTGTTTGTTCCCTAAACTATGGAAACCGAAGAGGCTTAGAAAGTTAGAAGCATATGAGTATCTATGGATTGATGACTCGTCTAGCCCTGGACCCCTGGTTCACCTTTCCCTAAATTTAATTGGCTTTGGCAAAATCCTCTCTTCCCAAAAATTAAAACTTTCACCTGGCTAGGCCATTCCAGCAAACCTTCACCTATAGAAGAGGTTTCTCAAATCCTCAAATAGTTGCCCTTTTGCCCACACAGCCCGAATTCCACCCTCCACAAATTTAGAGACTGCCTAGGAAGCTTACCACTCGATGAATGGCTCCTCAGCAGTCATTGGTCATTCCAAAGGAAATCCCATTCTCTTACCTCTAGGTTCAAATCCCACACCTGGGCCTTTTCTGAATTCTTTTCTATTCAAACTACGCTGATGCCTAACCAGATCAAGCTATATTACCCCTATTGGACCCCAACCGAATAGGAAAGAATTAAAATCAATTTCAATGCATCTTTTGTTTCTGTATCTCTATCTGAGGTATTGACAGGATTGTGCAAGGACAGGAACCATGAAGAAAATTGGTTTGTAAGTTCTCATTTCTCAATTCAAATCAGATGTAATTAAGTGCCATAACTAGCTTTACAAGCAGCTATCAATTGGAGTAGAGACAGATGGAGAAACACAACAACAGCCTCAGATTGTATCATCCAAAACAATACTAATATGATTAGTTGGTTGCAAAGATTGTCCAAAGTATAATATGTGAATCTGATAGAAAATTTTGATAATGACAAGAATTTTAAAAAAACTGATCATCAATTTCAAAACTGGCAATATTTAACCAAAAGTAGATGTCTTACAACTTGCAGAGCATTATTATAATAACATGATACTGCAGCAGATTTCAACAATATACAAAACAGAAAAATTCAGAGCAAATTTACTTCATGCATACTTCGCACTTGCAGACACAATTTTAAAAACAAGTTCAAATCAATTGTATCTCTAATAATGTCTTATATTATCCTGTAGCTCAGGAAACAAATACAAATCTGCCAGAATAGTCTACCCATCACCCCCAAACATCCCTAAAAATATAACAATAAGATGACCAGATATGAGAGTTGAGAATTCTACAACAAAAGATATTAACCAACAAATTTTCAATTCGCCAAAACCGTCAACTTAATAATAACTAAAAGTCAATTGATAGGGTCATTTTCTTAGGAATGTCCCTAAATATGCTTGATGAGTATCAGTCAAACAAGGGAATACTTTTGCTAAGGGGGTAAACTTAGGATCCGTGGATGTTGATGTTTATACATGAAAGATTTATGGTTCAAACAGCAAATTTAGTGCAATTGCTCACTGTACTACATCATTGCAAACCCTGTAGGACTATTGTTTGATAGAAAATAGCTAAAAGTGTAGGGAGGGAAAAAAATACTCTGTATTTCCATTTTCCTACGTATCCTTTATAAAGAGGTGAGAAACAGTTTTCCATAGACTAGAAATAGTTTCTACGCTTGGCTCTCGTAACAAACGAATGCCACATTTTCCTCTCTATCCTCAACCTTCCAATTTCTATCCATCCTCACAATCAAGGACCAAAACAATCAAAAGATGATCTTCAAATACATTTTCCGTCCAACCAAACAGAGCCTAAAGATGCTAATTACACAAGTTTCTATACCTTTCTACAGAACCCACCCTAGCTATGATGGCAATACAAATATTACAACACATAATCAACTAAACTAAACTTGAGTTATTGCATTACACAATTCGAAATTATAATATATACTTCAATAGCAATCAACAAAAAAATTCATCAAACTAAAACAAAGAATAGTTACCTTGAAAACCATATAAGGCTCATCCAATTCCACATCGAATTCATCCGATTCATCAAGATACTTAGTAAGAACATCAATCGGCTTCGTTCTCCCCTCGCGCAATCGAATCCTAGACCTAACTTTACTCTGATCAAAATGAAACTCTTCCTCTTTCTTCTCAAAATCATCAGCTTCAGCTCTAGACCTTTCTCTCTGCAACAAAAGCATCTCCTCTTCTCGTTGCGCCTTCTCCAACGCTCTCTCTTCTCTCCTCTTCTTCACCTTTTCGATCTCCGTCATTCGCTCCTTCTGCCGCTTCTTCTCCGCTCTCACAGTGAACTCATCCAACGGCACTCCTTCACCAACATCTCTCTCAATCTTCTTCCTCCAAACAAATTTCTCGTTCAAGTTCGCATCGCCGAAAGGATTCGACTCGTTGGAGTAGCCTGACACGGTCTGAGTCTTGAGCTTCTTCGCTACTCTCATGGCCTTCTTCTGCGCCTTCTTCGCGAGGTACTCCTTTATCTCTTCCTCCGAAACCTTTTTCTTCCTCTTCCTCCGGTCGCCGGAATCTTGGGAGGATTCCGGCGAGGAGTCTCGTTTTCGGCGGCGGCTGTTGCTTCGCCGGCGGTGTCTGCTGCGGTCGCGGGAGGAGTCCGAGTCATATTCGGATTCGGAATGTGACTCGGCCGATTCGGAATCGGAATCGGAAACGGAATCGTCGCGTTTTCTTCTACGAGAGGAAGATGGTTTGTCTCTTCTGCCTCTGCTCTTGCTTCTCTCGTGTTTCGCCATTATTAGGGCTTTGGGTGAAAGACTAAAAGGATAGAAAATATATCGGGGCTTTGAGTCGAGTGCAAATAGCACATAGTTTTATTTTATTTATGATATGATGCGTACAGGAGGGGTAATTAGTAAATGCACTTAATTTTTGTGATTTTTTATTGTTAAAATGGTATTTTTTTAATAGTGGTATTTTTAATGTATTATTATATTTACAGTGGTATTTTTAGTGTACTATTATACATGTATTTATCCTAATAGAATATAAGTTATTTTAATAGTACTATTAATAGCCATTATACGTCATAGTGATACAATATTTGAACCGCTAGGGAAAAAAAAATTCACCACTCTTTTGTCTTATAGCGGCTATTTACTTGCCATGTAAATAGCAGCTATGCGCCGTTACTTAACCCTTTGAGTCGATATAACCTAGGAGTCTAGGACGGGGCTAAAGAGGCACTCAATTTTCGTTAACTTAGTTTTACGAGGTTGTCCTAATTAATTTCATTTATCACGGAGTAAAACCGCTATTTGAGGAAACAGTTTTGAACAAAACCGCTATTTGAGGTAGTGGTTTTGCCTCAGGATAAACCCGTCACAAAACCGCTATTTGAGGTAGTGGTTTTGCCTCATGATAAACCCGTCAAAAAAAAAAAAAAGTAGGTAGCGGTTTTACCGCTTTTCACCGCAAAAATTACACTTTTTGTCCCCATGATAGACAAGTTTTGTTTATCACAGAGATAAACTTGTATTTTCTCTAGTTTTACTATCTCATTCATTAGTTAAATTGGTAGAATTTGGATTTATTAAAATTAAAATAAATTATGAAAATATTATCTCATTCATCTAATCACTATTTATGCATCGGTAATACTATAATTGCTTGATAAAGGGGTTAAATTTGACATGCTGTGATGAGAGGGTGGAAATTTTTTATTAAAGGGATGGAAATTGACACGCTTTGATGAAGGGTGAGAAATTTTGATCAAATAATTCAAAGGGGTGGAAAATTGACACGCCTTAGTGAAGGGGTGGAAAATTTTTATCAAAGCTATGAAAAATTAACACACCTTGATAAAGGGGTGAACTTTGACACGCCTTGATGAAAGGGGTGAGAAATTTTGATCAAAAGGGTAGAAAATTGAAACGCCTTGATGAAAGAGGTGATATTTGACTTGCCTTGATTAAAGGGGTGGAAATTTGACACACCTTGATGAAAATATGACCTTTAGCATCACACTAATTATATACATAATCTACAAAATACTGGTAAATTTAATTATAATACTGCAAGTTTGCAAGTTTACATATAAATAACAACATCAAAAAAATCGCCCGAAAAAAAATAACAGCATCAAAATTAACAATTTTTAATATGTAATGCAAATTTATTGAAATTTAGATTATAATTTATACATATGAAATTTTGGAATTTTATTGAAAATAAAACTCTAAATCAAACAATTTTACTCTAAAAATCTGTCCAAATTTTATTAAAAATAAAACTCTAAACTATTTTTTTATCCTACAAAATCTATCCAAATAAATCATACGTGTTGATTAGTTGTTATTATCGCGGCATGACACCTAACGGAAAGTTGGAATGCCAAGTGTTGATATTTCGTGCCCTGACTAATCGTATGTCTTTATTTTTGTTGTATCGTGACTTGACTAATCATACAACTTTATAATTATAATGACTGATATATTTTTTAAGTCGCTTATTAAAATATATCATAAATGTTTTTTTTTTTTTTTGAGGGAAATAAATGTATTTATTTGAAACACTGAAAATAATCAATTTATAAGATGATTACTGAAAACTAGATTTAAGCATGTGCGATACTTTTTTTTTTTTTTTTTGCTATTCTAATTTTTAACATAAATTTAAGTTTTGTTTAGCATCGTTTTTTGTTTTCAATTTTCTGTTTTTTTGAAGGAAAAAAAACCATAAAAACTCCAATAAGAAAAAGGTGTTTCCACTTTTTTGTTGTCAATCATGATTTTAATAAGTTTTGACTAATTTTTGATATATTATATGACATATATCATATGATTTTGAAAAATAAAAAATCAAAAAACTACAGTGATGCCAAACGAACCCTAATTTTTTTTTTCTTAAGCTTTTAAATTATTTGATTAATTTTACTCCTATTCATTAGTTACTTAGTTAGAACTTGAATTTATTAAATTGAAATAAATTGTAACACCCTAGTAATTCTCCTTTTTTCAAACCACTTACACAGGTGAAGGCAATGAAGAAGATGAAGGCATGCAAGTTGATGCAGACTGAACACAACTCAAATACATGAGCAAGGTGACAGTGAGACTACCACACATAACCAATGAATAGCAACTGAAAACCTAGCAGGTAGTGTTTTGTGTTTTTATTTTGATAATTGTATGAGTTTCATTGGTTAGGTGTATTTTGTTTACAGTCATGGTTACTATTATTGTAGGGCAGTCTTAACTATCTTATTTTGAACATGTACAAGCTTTTGATAAACTTTATGACATCTATTGTGGTTGGTTTATTTTCAACAAGTGATTACTAAATTAGAGTAACTGTGATACACAGACACATACATCAATCCATCAGAGGGGGTTGATTTATCACAGAAATTGCATAAGTGGTTCCCTCAACAACAACTCACATATGAAGTTGTTGGAGCAATTCCAACTTATGAATTTTATGGATCAAATGAGTCCCCTCATCACTTGGATTTTTCACCCACACACAAAACAGTTAGGGACTCTTAATTCACCTAGGGACAGACATCTCATAAGGGGACTCATACAGGGACAGACATGTAGGCCACAAGTTCATCATCATTCATCATATCACAAACCCCAATGCTTTTGGTGCCTATTTTGTACAACCTCAAGCTCAAGCCATACATAACAGAAACCAGAAATAACCAGCAAATTGACAGAACTCACAAATGATCAAGCACAACCAATAGCAGAAGCAGTACCCACAAATGACCAACTACAAACCCAGAGATCAACAACCTCAAGCCCTACATAACACAAACCAGGAAAAGCCAACAACTAGACAATAGTATCTAACAACCATAGCACCTAAATTCTCAATCACAGGCAACCAATTGGCTAGCAATTAAAATACGACAGCATCTAACATCAATCCCAGCATTTGTCAACAATAACCCACAAATCAGTAAAAACAAGCCACATATTACAAACAACAGTCAACAATTACTACCAATAAGTCTCAAAATAGCAAACATAGCCTAATTATCACAACCAGCAAGCAAATCAGGCTAATAATCACAACCAGCAAATAAATCAGAGGCTGATTCTTAATGAATCAATAAATTTAAGGGTCAGAAAAGAGTTACGCTGTAGGATTATTTGGAGCCACAGTTGGAAGGGTTGTAATCCCCACCACTTTCAACAGCCTCGTCAACAGGGGACTCAAATATCTCCCTTTTTTTGCCAGACAAAACTTGGGTAGACCTAGATCTACCCCACATCTACCGCCTCCTGAACGGTTGTCGCCGCCGAAAGGGCTGCAGAAGGGGGTTCAGCATCCTCGCCCTTCAAAACATCAACATCAGGACCCTTTTTGGTCGAACCCTCACCCTTGTTTCCTAGATCTACAGCCTTAGACCCACCACGTTCCTTATCAGAGTTGTATGGAGCAAGCTTTGCACCCACACCATACGTACGCCTCATATCCAAGTAAGTAGCCATACGCGTTCTGAAAGGAATGGTGTCCTTCCAACAAGTGTGTTATTCCGATAAAAGGTTCAGAAGTTATTAGAAAACTAATTCTTCAGTAAGGTCAAGTGATCAGAATGCCTAGGTGGAGGCCACTTCCGATCAGTAATATTAATGTACAATTAATATTACAGCTTAATCTTGACTGAACCCTTCGGGTCGAACCCAATCGAACAACCGATCCGAGACGACGAATCAATCCGAAGGATTTGATGAGTCTTCAGAGTTTTACGAACAAAGACGTCGGATATCGAGCTTAGAGCATCGAGACCGAGCGTCGCAAGTCGAGTCGAATTTAGAATTCAACGAGACGTGAAATAAATCAAGTCACAAGTTCAAGTTAGGCCGTAGCCTCGCATTGGCCTAGCTATGCGAGGGCTAGGCTATCTCGAGCTAGCATGTGCATCGTAAATATATTATTGGTGATCACCAATAATATATTTGATTGTGCATTATTGATCACCAATAATATATTTGATTGTGCTGGGCCTCGCATAGCAGCAGCCTAGTACTTCGCAGCATCGCAAACAACACGCACCAGACAGCAGCGTGCTAGGCATACTGGGCTGTGCGTGTGTGCTAGCAAGCAGCAGCACGTTGTGCCTCACATAGCAGCAGCACGCTGTGCCTCGCATAGCAGCAGCGCCCAGCATGCGTGGCTCGCTAGCAGCACGCATGCACTGGCTGGATGTGCGAGTGTGCTGGCTGGCTGGCCAGCCTTGGTGCTAGGCGACAGCTGGCAGCCTTGGCAACCAAGGCAGGCTGCCAGCCAGCCACTTGGCAAGGTGGACCGGTTTTGCTAGTGGGGACCAAAGGTTGGTTTATGCCTTGGGGAGCAAGGTGAGTTGGTCCCCTCCCTTGGTGGTCCTCACCTTCTCCCTCTCCTCCTCTTGCCACTTGTAACTTGGTGATTGAATTGCAATTTCATTTTTGTTTTGATTAAAATAAAATGGGAAAATTGCAAATCTCCCACATTGATTGAGAATGGGAATTCAAGGTTCATTTCCATATAAATACCAAGGTTTTGGGATTTGGGAAGAACACTTGAGTGGAACTAAAAAGGCATCTCCTTATCAGAAAAGTGAGAAAACCTTAAGTTCGTAAAACTCTAGTTTTTATTGGTCGGGTCCCGACTAACCTTCGGGACTTGGACCGTTCGGGTCGGGTTCGTGGGTATGAGCCGTCGGAGACCTTCGCATTTGCGGGGTTCGAGTTTTGATGTAAGAGCTCGGGATTCGAGCGAAGCACGCGCCAAGGGTAGAAGAACATCCAGCTCTAGAGAAATTAGGGCTTCAACCAGGAGAGAGAGTGAGGTAAAAGAGATCGCTTTTGGGAGAAGAGAGAGAGTGAGGTAGGCCAAATCGAAACAACAGAAGAGAAGGAGTGTTGGAATCTGGAAGAACTTCCAGAAGTAAAGGGGCGTCATTAATGGAGGTGGTTGAAGGATGCATTGAAGAGGGTGGGTGAGAAGATGAAGAGAATCTGATGAATGGATGGTTAAGGGGATAAGTGAGGGTAATTCTTGGTGGGAATCATTAGATTAGATGTGATGATAATAGGGAGATTTAATTAGAGTAGAAGATTAGGTTAGTATCTAATCAGTTTTTAACAAGGGCGGTATGGTAATTTTGTAGGTAAAACAGTTACTAAAAAAAATAAAAAAAAATTTGTTGCAAATGATAGATAGCACCTACTTTTAGTAAATGTTGCAGATAACCGTTAACGGAGGAAGTATATAGGTTTTTTAAAATAATTTAAATCTTAATATATAATATATTTTTTTAATAATTTAAATCATAAATTACTATTTGTTGTTTTTTAATTACGTGGTTAAATTCATAAATCTCATTCGTTATTTTTCTCTAGGCGGCGAATGAATTTTTTAATTCTAAAATAAAATATAAAATAAAAGATGCATGGTTTTTTTTGTAAGAAATGCACGTTTTTTTTTAATAATATCATTTTGTATAATTTTTAGTTTTTTAAATAATTTAAATTTTAATATCTAAAGATAATTTTTAGGTCTTACAAAAATTTGTTTTTTAAATAATTTAACTCCTAATTATCACTATTCGTTGTTTCTACCTACGTGGAAAAATTCTTAAATCTCATTTGTCACTTTTTCTTATTTGGCAAGTGAATTTTTTAATTCTAAAAAAAAAAATACAAATATCATTTTTAATTGGTCAAAATAATAAATTTTCTTATGTGGCGCGCCGAATGCTCTAAAAAATGCCTACTTTATATATATACCAGTTCTTTGCCCGAGCAACACTCGGATATTCACTGAAAAATTATAAAACTTTATATTATTATAGATGAGACACATTAATATAAAGTATCTTTATTTTTGTAGTTTGCTGACAAATTATGAATTTAAAATTGAGTAGAATCCCTTTTTTAGTAGGAAATGAACAATTCATTTAATAGATTAACGTATGAAGATTCAAGAGAATATAGAAGATTTTCATATCCTAATATATAATAAAACTTTTTTATTTTGGTGATTTTCTATTTGTAACGATAAATTTTAATTGAATTAATTTAAAATTTTGAAGGGTAAAAAATCACTAATTTACTATGACTCTACGTTGTTCGTTATTTTTAATTTTTTAAATTAGTTATCTAACTTTATTTATTTATTTATTTATAAAGCAAAAAAAAATTATTTATTTATAGTTGTTATTGTTCTATTTTTTGGGGTTGTTGAGGCTGTAGATTTTTTTTTTACAAAAATAAAGTATCTATTATTTTTTGATGGAAAATAAAAGAAAAAAACGTTTTGGTGGAAAAATTTTTGTTATGGACCCGACACGTGTACTTTTTAGATAATTCTGGTGATTACTTTAGCATATAGTATTGATATTAGATTATAACTTAATATATATTTTTTTTGAATAAAGTCATAATATAATTTATTCATATGAAATATTGGTATTTTAAAGAAAAAAAAAACTTTAAATTAACAATTTTATCCTTAAAATATATCCAAATTTTATTGAAATAAAACTCTAAACCAACAATTTTATCCTACAAATCTATTCAAATTTTATTGAAAATAAAACTCTAAACTTTTTTATTCTTGAAAATCTATGAAATCTATCCGACTTTATTATTCTACAAAAATATTTTCAAATAAATCCTACGTACCATACTAATAATTAATTGTTGTTTATGTTGCGCGACACTCGGTGAAAAATTGAAATGACAAGTGTCGTTATCTAGTACCCTGGCTAATCATACGACTTTATCAACTTTTTTTTATTTTTTTGCCAAATCTTATCTCAATTTGGACTCTTAAGGACCAAAATGGGAAAAATGGCCCCAAAACCTTTGATAGAACATTTTTATGCACGTAAATCGAGAAAACCTATATTAATAGGTGGAGAGTGGACCCCACTAACGCTAACTAAAAAAAATATAACCCAGTGAACGACTACATAACGGGAGGATCACCATATACGGAGTATTAATTAATTGCACTAAAGGGTTACAATGTGTATTTCTAAAAAGAATGGGCACAACTTGAAAAACGAATACTATAGGGTTACTACGTAGAATTTTCCAAAAAAATAAAGTTACCATGGATTTTTTTTCATTAAAAGCTTAAATTAATGCAATAATCAACTTTCTTTTTTACGAGATAAATATTATCTGCAACAAAACTCCACTCACTACTAAAATCGTAAAACACAAAGAAATTATAAAAATCTATTTGGAAATAGAGAGTAAGACATAGGGGTGCTAATCGAGTTGAGCAGCTCGTGAGCAACCCAGACTCGAATCGGTCAAAACTCAGCTCGACTTGGCTCGACTCGAAGTCGACTCGACTCGAGATATTAACGAGCACAAGTTGAGCAAGCTCTAACTCGACTCAATAAGCTCGTGAGCAACTCGATAATATATTTTATTAATATAAAATTTACAAACAAAGTTATTACCATGAACAAATTTGACACTTAATAAGAACTAATTTATATTATTGAAAAAGAAAGAGTAAATCTTTAATAATAAATAAAATAAATAAAAGAAAATTATATAAAGTGCACAAAAACAACAAAGACCTATAATTTTAGAAGGGCCAAAACTTTAACGAGGAGATCGTGAGCTACTCGACTCGACTCAAAACTTTAACGAGTACGAGTTGAGCAGTTTTTATTGGCTCGAAACTTTAACGAGCACGAGTTGAGCACATAAAAAAAAGTTTTCTAGTCGAGTTGAGCACCCCTTAGATCGTGGTGATCGACTCGCTCGATTAGCACCCATTGTTCTTTTCACTTGAAATAAGGTATTCTAGTCTGACTTTTTTTAAAGTATGATCTAGTTTAATTGTCTAATTTGATTAGCACCTCTAACGCATAAGAAAAAATATCATTAAGTGGAATCGTATTAGATTTGTCTCAACGAGTAATTTTCAATTATCTAATTTCTTTTATTTTACAAATACGTTTTTTTTTTTTTTTTTTTTTTTGAGACAGAGAATATGAAATTAATGATATATGACACTTAATAACCAGAAATAAGAAAAAATAGTGTCCTTTGAATGTCTGGTTAGAAATCTGATTTGATTAATATTCCATAGTAGTAAGAATAAGATGAAGAGAACAAAGCCTAAACTTACCACAATAAACAGGAACGTTAATTGAAACAAGTAAATTATACTGTAAACATTATCAAAGGATTCTGAAATATTAACAATTATTCTCCCTAAAAGATAGTATATCCAGAATCAACTTTGCAATTACAATTTTGGGGAAAAAATCTTACAAAAAAAAGCGTAAGAATTAAAACAAAATAGTATAGTAAGGTTCCTCTTGTTCTGGAACGAAACCTCCTGCAACTCGAATCACTGTATTCTACTTCAGCTGTCGTGGTACTAATTCTACAACACTTGACATACAACATTAGCACTATATGGATAATTTACATTCCTGACACTGATTTAGACTACAAATTGGGCGAATCTGCGTGCACACATGAGAAATTTCAGCATCACGTAGAATTTGAAAAATACAATATGATCATAGACAAAACTACAATGCCTTGCCAATCAATGGTAATAGCGATTAACAAAGCAAAAGATTGAGAATTCTCTGAAGTGAAAGGTTAGCTACAGGATCAGAAAGGTTATAATCTGTGCAATAAGAGCCTCAAAGAGAGATGGTATGAGACCCAGGAGAAAGTTTTTGGACGAGCTGCTAACGCTTACTTGCCCAGCATTAATAAATTCATCCCTGCCAAATGTAACGGAGACATTGACGGACAAGGAACCTGTGAAATGAGCACATCAGTCAGACATCTTTCAGAGCACTGGAAGAGCAGTGAGTGAAATGAGATGCAGCTGTACTTACAGTCGTAACTAGCCCATCCAACTCTCTGATGAGAGAGATCATAAACAACAATCTTATCTTTCAGAACAAGGTCTGCAGTAAATCAAAAGTCAAATTAAATATGTGAAATGTTTGAAGCTTCAAATGGTACAAATTTAGACATGTCAGTAAAAGTAGTAGAAGAAATTTTTTTAAGAAATAAACAAATAAATAAAAATATAAACTGTCACAGAAAGACGAAATCAATTGCAGTTCTAGCTATTGAAAGGTGCTGACACTATGCCTTTCAAAAACTCTCTTAGTTTCTTACACAGTAGCATACACCTTGATCTCTCTACACTTGACCCGTGGAGAAATATTCACACAATCACTTGCCGTAGAGTTGAATGCACATGAAATTCTTGTTCATAGAATCATAGTCTGAACCCTTGAACGACAACAGAGCTCAATCTCCCCTCCCCTCCCCCCCCCCCTGTCAAGCTAAGTAACAAGGCAGACCCAATAGACGTGAGGCAAGTTTAAATTTTATGATGTCTTCCGAGCCTCTATAGATATGACAGTAATGCTTGGAGGTTTTGTAATTTGTAAGTTGATGACTTTAATAATTCAGTATTCAACTTCTACATTATCCCTTTTCCGAACTTCAGATGAAAACTGCCAACCACTCGCCCAACTTTAGCATAAAAGGAAATTGCAATACTTCTGCCAAGTCAAGTCAAGTATGCTGCTTAACTAAGTGATGCAGCTTAGAGCATACAAGTACTACATCAAGTCTACATTCCGGTGGATCTATATGAAAAATAGTGATGTGACTAACCTCCTAATATCGAAATTCCTTGACCCTGCTGAACCTTCTGAAATCCTATACACCAAAGTGCGGCACCATCCTGTTTCGCCAAATCAAATTTTTTAGTATCACAATAATAGCAGATTCGCATAAAAATAAATTCAAATTTTCACACGGTGAAGGCTGAATGACTTACGACAAAGCCCATATGTACAAGGTAGTCTTCTGGTCTCAACACCATGGACGCACCACCCGCAAAGTTGAAGCTCATAGGTGGAAACAAACCGCTTACACTAAGTACGGAAATAAATTTATCATCAGAAGTTCAGGCCAATACCAGCAATTTTACAAAGAATGAAACAATGAGAAGGGAACATAGTAAGACAGACCTTACTAAAACCTTGTAACATTGTTCTCCTTTGAAAATAAGGGGTTTTGTAGATTGTGAAACTGCACTGGTTACCTGCACACAACAAGATAATGAGAAAGCCTGATACCAAGATCCATTGGCACCCTTGAATGTCTAGAATCAAGAGAGAGCACCAAAAAGATGATTGTGATTCATTTCAATTTACTGTGACATGACTGATGTCATTAACAGCTACATCACCAATCTGACAATCTGCCAGAACTTTGGGTGGTCAGTTCACTCATATCTATTAGCATTGATTTGTAAAAGGCAAAAATGAAACATTCAACAGAATATTATTCTTAGCCTTCTCAAGCTCCATATTGGAAGTTGGCTATGCTTACCTCAAGAGAAGATTCAACTTCTTCCAACACTACCCTCAAGGGGTGAGGCAATGTCCTGAGGCTATCTTTTAGTTAGAAAGAGATGCCAAAGTTTATCATCAACCTTATGAGACAATATACGAGCTAAAATATAATCAACCCACTAAAACATGAGGACCCTTTCCAAACAAAAAGAAATTTAAAGAAAAAAAGATATCCCAGCCAACTTCTAAGTTATACCAAAATAAAAAAACTTCAAAGGAAAAGGAGGCATATTTACTACTAATTTTGTAACGAACAGTATAAGACTCACCGCTTCAACTAAAGGGTCATAAGCTTCTTCAATCAGATATGCCAAAGTTGTTCCAGAGTCGATAATTGTTCCTCGGTTGTTCGATGTTGCAAACACTGATTGATCAATTGGCAATAATATCCCATTCACTGCGATGCTCTGCAGGTCCAAATTATAATGAGGCCTGAAAAGTTTTGTATTAAGTGCTGTCAAACTTCTGAGTAAGAAGCAAAGATTGAATTACAAGAAAACTGACATTATAGTTTTCAGTGTTTAAGACTGAATAGTTCATTGTACCATGTACAGTTATTTTTAAAAAGGTAAAAGAGTGTCTTGCAAAGAAAATGGCAAGAGGAGCTGTCATAAGAAAACTACTCCCAAGGCAGAGACATTAATTTTAATAACACTGTCACTTTTGTTTCTCCTCTATTTCATTCTTCCTTCTCAATTTACTGTTGAACTAATCCTTTTTAAACAGTCTTTAGGCCCTTAAGCAATGTGCAACTGAGTATTCATTGAAAATCTGTCATTATCTTGGAAGTACTAAGTTCATATGCAACCATGGCAGGATGTAAAACCCCACCGAAGGAAAATAACACCGTCTTCCTATTGTATATTGCATAAGCAGAGAATAGACCAAACTACACCACTCGATGACTAAAACAGATGGTCAAAAATATCTATGTAGATATCTTGATATTGTAAAAAGAACTCTATAAATAATGACAAACCGTTTAACTTGAATACACACCAATATTACACCTTACATATTAAAGGCAAAAGAAGTAAGAACAATGCAAGAAAGTGAGTAATACAGAAAATTCACAAGAAAGATGTTCTCAAAGGAGAATAGAAAAACATACTGTGATGGCACAAGCGGACTATACACAATATTTGGCTCCAAAATCTCACCAAGGACCAGAATACCCCCACCATTTCCCCCTCCTTTCAAACAATGGGAAAATGAACGAGGTGTTATTCCTCTAGAAGATAATTGGGATACAACAGACAATCCCTGCTGACCAAAGCCAAAGATCCCATCAATAGCACGTTCTGACTTGGTCAAGTCCCCAGATTGATAATTGCTGCATCTGCAGCCAGCAATAAAGCCAAAAGGAGTTAAAATTGAAATAATTGTAAAAGTACGAAAATCAAGGAGAGCAAACATGAACAGAACATGCTAAAGGGTTTTGCAACAAAGCAATTCTCTACACATACTTTATCCTTCATAACATGTTAGCAGGATAGATCAACATCACAAGCAAATTATAACAGGAAAGTAGTGCTCACCCAAAAACGATAGAGGCAGATGAGTTAGCAACCATAGAGTTCCCAAGAATCATATCAAAATACAGCATATCAGACACATAAAACCCTGATGTTCCACTTCCATCGCCATATTGGAACGAGTAACCACACTGTTTAGTTTCAGCTGAGCACTGAGACGATGCTGATGGAACCATAGTAGTACATATCGGGTCTGAACAAGAAACAGTGTTTGCAGTCGAGGAACCAGTGATATCATAGAAATTGAGATCAATCTATAAGAAGCCAGAACAAAATCATAACAACTGTCAGGCATCAATTAAACAAGCAAACCAGCTCGAACATAGCACAACAATGAGCAGAAAACATTACCCCAAGGCCACTTGTCCTTGGACAATCGATACATGAATTGCAAGTTATCCACAATATGTCGCTTCCAGTGTCAATCTGCACATTGTATTCCCTTGGAGGAGTTCCTAAGCTCACTCTAGTAAAATACAGCCTACCTTAAACCAACACCAACACAAAATCAAAAACCCCAATACCGGACTTTCATAAATACAAATACAAATGCTAAATGCAGCATCACACTACTAATAAAAATACCCTCCACGCAAATAAAAAAAAGCTTTTTTTTTTCTTGGAAAATTCAACCCAAAAATAACAAAATTCACACTTACTAGAAAACATTCTTTTCTTGGAAAATTCAACCCAAAAATAGCAAAATACATAAGAGTGCAAATCAACCAAAGTTAATCAACCAAAGTTCAACAAACTAATCATTCATAGAATTCTTCAACAACCCATCAAAAGAAACAATTAAACTTCAAGAACAACAAAACCCCATAATAATTAAATCACTAAAAACAGAAAACAAAATTCAAATTATAGTAAAATTAATCATTCATACCCAACAAGATAAGGATCAGAGGTACCCTGAACAGAAAAATCAACAACCCCACCACCACCGCCACCGCCGGCCCCTTGCAAGATTCGTTCATGGCGTGCAGCATCACGAGCACGAAGAACCTTAAACTCCACTCTTTCATTCAACGGAAAAATCCGCTGAAGTTGTAAAACAGTCGCCGGAAAATTACTGGAAACCACCGTCACCGGCAACACTACGGCGGCGATTATAAGCATAAACGCCGCCGTCGCCGGTGGAAGTTGAAGCATCCCAGAATTCCTCACTGTTTTCTTGTCTCTTGGTTTGTTTGTTTCTCTCGTTTTACCGTACTGTGAAATAACTGATTGTTTAAAGTTTGAAGTTTGAAGATGTATTAATGGCGGAAATCAAGGCGGCTTTTTTTTTTTGGGTTCCAAATTTTTACTTTTGGTTTTTTAATTTTGTGTAGAAAGAAATGATTTTCTTTTTCTTTTTCTTTGCAAAGTTGCTGACTGTGGGGGTGCTGTGTTTGGTGACTATAATACTGTGTTGTTGGTCTTCTGTTTATTTCAAAGGGATTGTGTAACGTTGGAAAAACATTTATTGGTGGGGTCAACTCTGGTCTACTATACTAAAGATAAATGCGGAAATGACATAAATACCATCGATAAATTATACTTGCAAAAGGGTGAGCATGGATGGGGTACCCGTACCGTTTACACTAACGGTTCGGATAATCGATAACCATCCATTAACCAAATCGATTATCGGATACCCAATAAAATATCCAATAATGATAATTAAACTAATAAGTTATTATGATATCATTCAACACTAATTAACAACAATACCACATGATCTTGACCAAACTTTTTTATAATATTACTAATCATTCAAATTATAAAGTCATTATGAAGTAAAGTAAGAGTTTAGATTTTGGCCAAATAGATTTAAGTAGGAAAAAAAAAACAAAAAATTGCTTATCGGATCGAAACGGATAACCGTTAATTTTAATATGACACCCAATAACCATACTCGATAACAAATTATTGGTCGGGTACCCGGAACGTTATGGTTATTGGATGGGGTTTCCTAATTTTCGGATCGGTTACGGATCGGGTGTTCAATTTTTCGAGTAGTTTTGCTCGGCCCTACTTGCAAATCATACGAAACATGTAGTTTATACTCTCGGGAGTATCTGAAATTTTTTATATACACCCGGTTATATCGTACACCTAATTAACTCAAAGTTAGTTTTTGTCTTTCATTTGATGATAAATGAAAAATGATCAATAAAATGAGAACAAAATACGCATGGGTGAATCGTGCACCCAAATATATATACTCCCTCCATTTTTAAATAATTGCTCCATTTCTCCATGCGCGGAGTTTTAGGAGAAATTGGAGAAAGTAATAAAATATGGAAGTAGTGGGGTAAGTGGAAGAATAAAAAATTATAAAAAGCAAAAGTAGTTGAGAGAATTGGAGGAGAGTGAATATGAAATTAATAAAATATGATTTATGTTGGGCCTACTGGTTGAGAGAAATGTATTAAATATTGTAAAACCTTTCCAAATAAGGAAATGGAGCAAGTATTTAAAAAATGCCGCAAATGAAAAGTGGAGCAAGTATTTTAAAACAGATGGAGTAACAATCTATCAGTATAATGTACATTAAAATCTCGAGTGTATGATTTAAAAGTGTGTCTAGTTCAACTTGTTAACTATATTTCCTCAGTTCTTTTTAAATTGATTCATTTGACTTATAGTCATTTAGTAATAAGTTTTGAAAAATTATTTCAAATAAGATAAATTTAAGCTTACCGCTAAAAATAAGTTTAGTTAAGATCAAATATATTCAAATAGTTAATATGAGGAATTATATGTATATAACGCAATACGTATAGGCCAGGCCTGCCAATTTAGGTTAATGGGTCGGGTTTGAGTCAGATTTCGGGTCCTTTGGGTCATTACAAAATACGATATATGGGTCAAATGGGTCGATTTTGAGTTATTTGAGTCAGGATTGGGTTCTCTCTTGGTAATTCGGGTTTAGATTCTAGTTGAGTCATATTGGACTATTAAGTCAGGCTGAATTGACATGTCTAAATACTTAAAATAAGTTGCACAAAGTATTTGGTAAATGGACATTTGGTGCTATACTAGAATTGGTTATATTTGGGATTTCACTATGCTGGAGAGTATTGAATTATATATACACGTGAAATTTAAAACTTAGTAGTAGGAAGAGTATGAGTTTGAAAGATGACAATGTTGGTACCAAGAGAAATTATAAAAATGATGAAATGAAGAAAATATGGATGATGTTTGTGTGCGTAATATACACGCCTTCATTTCTTGACCGAATTGACAAAAGAAAATTCATGAATGGTGGTGATGAATGAGTGCAAAGTCTTACTGTGTGAGTTGGATCCCAGGATCTTCAAGTGTTTTAGACTTTTTGTCAAACAGTACCATTTGTTTTGTTCTGTAAATATGTAATCTAAAAATAATACATATTTATATAACTAATACTAAAATAACAACCGCTGACATCATTTTTTTTTTTCAAATTGTACACGTGTCAGCTTCTCTTTCAATTTTTTCCCAACTAGACTTTTTGTTTTTTCTCTTCCAATTTTTTTTTTTTTTTTTTTTTATTGAAAAAGTTAAAGACTGCAAAGTACTTTCATATCGTGTATTATGTTAAGGTACATATAGCTAATCTTAAGGAAAACAAATATTAACCCTGTATATATGTGATTACTCTGTCTAATTACAAATTCCACTAAATTTTGTTGTAGATACGAATTTTCTTTTATTTATATTATTTTCGTTTTTGTAGTTTGGTTTATGTTAATACCAAGATTTTACATATTTTGAGTGATAATATGACTTGAAAAGGTGCACAGTTATAAATTCTTTTTTGTTATATCCGTGCACTATCAACAATGAGCAAAAATTTGTTTTCTCATTCTCTTCCTACCCACTTTCTCTCTCTTCCTACTTATGGGCATTTTTGTAATCATATTTTTATCCCATCAATGATAATAAAAATTTCTTTACCATTCTCTCTCTTACTTTTACTAATATAATATCCACCTATATTTCTCTCTAGTATATTATTTTTTTTCTTTTCTTTTTTACTTGCCTTGTGGGCCCCACATAGTTACTATTCATCTTAAAAAATGCTCAGAGCATTTTTCATTTTGCTCATGAGCAATTTTGTTTATGCTCATTGGTGTAAGCTTTTTTTTTTTTTTTTTTTTTTTTTTTTTTAAAATTTCACCCAATGGCAGGATGGTGTGAAAAGAATTTTGACCATTATGGCCGAGTTGCATTGCTGGGGAATGCCCTTGCTAGGTATTTTACCAGGCCGCTTAAACATGCCCTTTTAAGGCCCGAGCTGCTATGTTGCAAGCAACTTCATTTTCGTTCTTAGGCGGCATGGCTACTTATTAGGTGAGCATACCTAATATAAATTGCATGCTATTCAACCTTGCCGTCATTAGGGGCCGAGTTGCTATGTTGCAAGCCACCTTTATTTTTGTTTTTAGGCGGCAATTCTGCTTATCAATAAGTAAACGTACAAAGCAAATGGCAAAATTTTAATAAAAATGTTTGACTTTATCATTAATATCTTCAAAATTACATTGCTTTTGGCCATACGTCTTTAATTACACTGCTTGGCCGTTTAGGCCTAGTTGTATATACAACTTTTGGCTAAGTACAAAAAATTTATACATAATATTTTTTCAGATTGTCCTTATTCCATGTACGGGGAACAGGACGACCATCTAAAGCTTCAAGATGGTAGGTACCATCTCGTACTTCTTCCTTAATTTGGTAGGGCCCTTCCCAGTTATGGGTTAGCTTGCCAACCTCTTTTGCTCGGCCTACCGCTTCCATTTTTCTCAAGACCAAGTCTCCAATCTTAAGCGGCCGCTTTGACACTTTGCGATTGTATGTCCTTGTCATCCTTAGACGATAAATTTTTCATGTCTAAGCGCCGCATTGCCCCTAGCTTCTGGCAAGAAGTCTAGGCCGGTCTTCATGGCCTCCCAATTGGCCGATTCATCAAATAGCATCACTCGTAGTGTGGGATCATACATTTCATTGAGAGCATGGCCTCGGCGGCATAGACCAGAAAGAATGGGATCTCCCCTATTGAACTCTTTTCTGTTGTTCAAATGGACCATAACACATTAACCAACTCATCAGCTGATAGGCCGCCTGCTTTCTCAAGCTTCCGCTTGATGCCGTTGGAGATCAACTTGTTGTATGCTTCAACTTGGCCATTAGCCTTTGGGCGTTCGACTGAGGCAAAGCAGTGTGCTATGCCCTGGTCACTCAGCCAATCCCTGGGATGGTCGGTCTCAAATTGTGGTCCATTATCGAACACCATTGATTGCGGCACACCAAAGCGTATGATTATGTTTTTTCAGATGAAGGCGGATACATCTTTCCATTTGATTCCTTGGACGGACTCGGCCTCAACCCACTTCGTGAAGTAGTCAACTGCTACTAACACGTACCGCCTCTGTCCGGATGCTGGTGTATACGACCCCAAGATGTCCATGCCCCATTTTGCAAAGGGAAGTGGACTACTTATGGTCGACAAGCTATTTGCCGGGCGGTGGATGAGGGTCGCAAATCTTTAGCACTTGTCACATTTTCTCACCATTTCCATGGTGCTGAATTCATGCTCGGCCAGTAATACCCCAGATGGGTAACTTTTTCGGCTAAGGCTCGTCCGCCTATGTGTGATCCGCAATGCCCTCGGTGGAGGTCGTTCAACACCTCATGCCCCCTCTCGGGTGCAACACATTTCAAGTAGGGCTTTACAAATGATCTTTTGAACAAGTCCTCTCCCTTCATCTCAAACCATGTCGCCTTTTTCTTCATCAGCCAGCCGAGAACTCCATCTTTGAGATAGGAGATTATTCCGTCCATCCATGTGGAGCTTCTGTCAATGATTTTCACGGGCTCGGCATCGATGCTCCTCTTTTCCTTGACTTACTAGAACACAAATCTCGGAGTATCACATGATGCTGAGGAGGCTAGTTTGGACAGGGCGTCCGCTTGATGATTCTCGGACCGAGGGACTTGTTGCAGCGTGAAATGCTCTAGGCTCTAGGCCTCATCTTTCACCATTTGTAAATACTTCATCATTGTCGGCTCCCTAGACTCGTAGTCACCATTCACTTGGTTGACTATCAGCTAAGAGTCTGAACAAGCATCAATTTTTGTTGCCCCGACCGCCTTACACATTCTAAGGCCGGCCAGAAGGGCTTCATACTCGGCCTCGTTGTTAGAGGCTTGAAACTGAAATCTCAAAGCATATTCAAACTTATCTCCTTTGGGAGATAAATAAATTATACCAGCGCTGCATCTGGTCGCCGTAGCACTTCCATCCACAAAAACTTTTCAGATCTGATCCCCTGCCGGCTGTAAATCTGGCCGTGTCATTTCAGCCAAGAAATCTGCAAAGACTTGGCCCTAGATTGCTTTTCTGGGTTCGAATGTGATATCAAATCCACTTAATTTTGAGGCCAAAAAATAGCGGCACTTATCCCCTGATCTTGACAGAAATCGTCCGAGTGCAGCTAAGTAGCCGATCAATCTTTGAACTTCTTTTATGGTTCTGGGCGATTTCATGTCTAAGACCGCTTGGATCTTTTCACTGTTGGCCTTAATGCCGTGCTGATCAATTAAAAAGCCAAGAAATTTA